CTTGAGAGGCACCTGGGCCCGATACTTGATCCCCGGGAACCTCTGTTGTTTGTTGTTCCTCGGTGACAGTACTTGTCGCGGCCTCTTGTAGTCTTGTAAGAGAAACTTGTAGAGTCTTATTGTTATTAAATACTGTATTGTCATTAGTAACGTTATTTGACCTTGTCGGAGCAACACTTTCATCGTTACTGACCTTCAGGAGTGACCTTATGTTGCCGCCAGGATAGTTCACAGTGAGGAAGATCACAAGGAACATCGTGCAGACGAGTACAGTGGTCATCACTCGCTGTTTGGTGTTAATGACCATTGTTGTGGCTCCTTCTCTGCTAGGCTGTTACTTGGGTGTGCAGCTTTGCTCATTATTCACACACAAGATCTCTGAGTTGCAGACTTGCACAGTGAGAGGCTCCTCGCCTACTGCAGTGTACCTTCAGGAAGTTACTGAAATATCTCCTAAAATTAGCACGCATATTAATCAGCCACGTAATGCACCTTCAGGAAGTTACTGAAATATCTCCTAAAATTAGCACTCATTATAATCAGCCACGTAATACACCTTCAGGAAGTTACTGAAATATCTCCTAAAATTAGCACTCATTATAATCAGCCACGTAATGCACCTTCAGGAAGTTACTGAAATATCTCCTAAAATTAGCACGCATATTAATCAGCCACGTAATGCACCTTCAGGAAGTTACTGAAATATCTCCTAAAATTAGCACTCATTATAATCAGCCACGTAAGACCCTCCGGAAAACTTTCCGACTTCTATAATTATTTCTTGCTGTAATCTGCCACGTAGATTATTGTGCTTTTTTAACAGTTGTACTTCTGGTGTAAATTGTTAATGTGTATTATATAAAAGTTTCTGAATATTTGTTATTGGTTGCTGAAGTGTGGTTGCTAGAGGGCCGGGAGAGGCCGTCTGGTACCTTAGAGCTTACTGGGTGTGGAGTCAGTGTTGACGTGTGCTGGACCTCCTGCTGCTGCTGACGGCTACACAGCTCAGTAAACTTTACTATTTTTGTCTTGCTAGTGTTGCCAGCTGGCTGTAAACAATGATTATTTCCATCATTACTTTGATTCAGCTTGAATTGTGTTAGATAATATGCTCACTTATAGAATTATTCTGGGTGAAAATTGTCAATTGTTTATGTAAATAAGTAAATTTTTGTTCGAATAATTGACAGATCAGACACCCGCATATACAAAGATCGACACACACGCGCGCGCGCGCGCACACACACACACACACACACACACACACACACACACACACACACACACACCTAAATGAGGAAGCTTTTAGGGCGCTTTACACTGCCTACGTGAGACCCGTCTTAGAGTATGCCGCGCCATCATGGAGCCCCCACCTGAAGAAACACATAAAGAAACTGGAGAAGGTTCAGAGGTTTGCGACGAGGCTTGTCCCAGAGCTACGAGGGATGGGATATGAAGAGCGGCTGAAGGAACTGAACCTTACGACACTAGAGAAAAGAAGGGAGAGAGGAGATATGATAGGGACATATAAAATACTCAGGGGAATTGACAAAGTGGAAATAGATGAAATGTTCACACGTAATAATAACAGAACGAGGGGACATGGGTGGAAACTGGAAACTCAGATGAGTCACAGAGATGTTAGGAAGTTTTCTTTTAGCGTGAGAGTAGTAGAAAAATGGAATGCACTTGGGGAACAGGTTGTGGAAGCAAATACTATTCATACTTTTAAAACTAGGTATGATAGGGAAATGGGACAGGAGTCATTGCTGTAAACAACCGATAGCTAGAAAGGCGGGATCCAAGAGTCAATGCGCGATCCTGCAAGCACATATAGGTGAGTACATATAGGTGAGTACACACACACACACACACACATACACACACACACATTCCACTTCAACTGATTTTCAAGCATCCCTGTTTACAGGAGTTATAGCTGATGTGTTGAAAAAGACTAACGTAGTTACAATCTACAAAAGTGGGTGCAGGGAAGACCCCCTTAATTATAGACCGGTATCATTGACAAATGTAATAGTCAAAATATTGGAAAAAATTATTAAAACTAAATGGGTAGAACACCTGGAGAGAAATGATTTAATATCAGACAGACAGTATGGTTTTCGACCTGGAAGATCCTGTGTATCGAATTTACTCAGTTTCTATGATCGAGCAACAGAGATATTACAGGAAAGAAATGGTTGGGTTGACTGCATCTATCTGGACCTAAAAAAGGCTTTCGACAGAGTTCCACATAAGAGGTTGTTCTGGAAACTGGAAAATATTGGAGGGGTGGCAGGTAAGCTTCTAACATGGATGAAAAATTTTCTGACTGATAGAAAAATGAGGGCAGTGATCAGATGCTATGTATCGGACTGGAGAAATGTCACAAGTGGAGTACCACAGGGTTCAGTTCTTGCACCAGTGATATTTATTGTCTACATAAATGATCTACCAGTTGGTATACAGAATTATATGAACATGTTTGCTGATGATGCTAAGATAATAGGAAGGATAAGAAACTTAGATGATTGTCATGCCCTTCAAGATGACCTGGACAAAATAAGTATATGGAGCACCACTTGGCAAATGGAATTTAATGTTAATAAATGCCATGTTATGGTATGTGGAATAGGAGAACATAGACCTCACACAACCTATATATTATGTGACAACTCTTTAAAGAATTCTGATAAAGAAAGAGATCTAGGGGTGGTTCTAGATAGAAAACTATTACCTGAGGACCACATAAAGAATATTGTGCGAGGAGCCTATGCTACGCTTTCTAACTTCAGAATTGCTTTTAAATACATGGATGGCGATATACTAAAGAAATTGTTCACGACTTTTGTTAGGCCAAAGCTAGAATATGCAGCGGTTGTGTGGTGCCCATATCTTAAGAAGCACATCAACAAACTGGAAAAGGTGCAAAGACATGCTACTAAGTGGCTCCCAGAACTGAAGGGCAAGAGCTACGAGGAGAGGTTAGAGGCATTAAATATGCCAATACTAGAAGACAGAAGAAAAAGAGGTGATATGATCACTACATACAAAAAAGTAACAGGAATTGATAAAATCGATAAGGAAGATTTCCTGAGACCTGGAACTTTAAGAACAAGAGGTCATAGATTTAAACTAGCTAAACACAGATGCCGAAGAAATATAAGAAAATTCACTTTCGCAAACAGAGTGGTAGACGGTTGAAACAAGTTAGGTGAGAAGATGGTGGAGGCCAAGACCGTCATTAGTTTCAAAGCGTTATATGACAAAGAGTGCTGGGAAGACGGGACACCACGAGCGTAGCTCTCATCCTGTAACTACACTTAGGTAATTACACACACACAGACACACACACACACACACACACACACACACACACACACACACACACACACACACACACACACACACACACATACATATTCAATGTAAGGAATCATTCAGAACCTTGTATACCGCATATGTAAGACCAATCCTGAAGTATGCGGCCCCAGCATGGAGCCCGTACCTTGTCAAGCACAAGACGAAGCTGGAAAAAGTTCAAAGGTATGCCACTAAGCTAGTCCCAGAACTAAGAGGCATGAGTTACGAGGAAAGGCTGCGTGAAATGCACCTCACGACACTGGAAGAGAGAAGAGTAAGAGGAGACATGATCACTACCTACAAAATTCTCAGAGGAATTGACAGGGTAGATAAGGATAAACTGTTTAACGCAGGTAGTATGTGAACAAGAGGACACAGGTGGAGACTGGGTTCCCAGTGAGCCACAGAGACGTCAGAAAGAATTTTTTCAGTTTCAGAGTAGTTAACAGGTGGGAATGCATTAGGCAGTGGTGTGGTGGAGGCTGACTCTATACACAGTTTCAAATATAGATATGATAGAGCCCAGTAGGCTCAGGAATCTGTACATCAGTTGAGAGGCGGGACCAAAGAGCCAGAGCTCAACCCACGCAAGCACAACTAGGTGAGTACACACTGAATTACAAAGCTTGTCGAGAAACACAATAACAAATTTTTATGGCCTCCATTTGTTAGAGTGACCAGCGGGAGGATACTTAAACAAATGAGAAGTTTTTGCTTTACTTATATATGAAACTAAAGCTTACATTGAATGCTGTTGGTACATATGAAACTAAAGCTTAGGAGGACAAAAACAGAGGAGAACAGCTTGAGGCTTCGAGAAGACCTGGACAAACTGAAGAAATGGTTCAACAAATGGTTGTATGAGATTAACCCGAACAAATGTAATATAATGAAGATAGGTGTAGGGAGCAGGAGGCCAGATACAAGGTGTCATTTGGGAGATGAAATTCTTCAGGGATCACAGAGTGAAAGACCTGAGGGATGATATCACGCCAGACTTGTCCCCCGAAGCCCATATCAAGAGGATAATATCAGCGGTATATGCCAGGTTCGCCACCATAAGAACAGTCTTTTGAAACTTGTGAAGGGAATCATTCGGTACCTTATATACCACATATGTCAGACCAATCTTGGAGTATGCAGCTCCAGCATGGAGTCCATATCTCGTCAGTCACAAGATTAAACTGGAGAAGGTTCAAAGGTTTGCTACAAGACTAGTCCCCGGCCTGAAGGGCATGAGCTATGAGGAGAGACTACGGGAATTAAACCTCACGTCGCTGGAAGACAGAAGAGTTCGGAAGGACATGATCACCACATACAAGATTCTCAAGGGAATTGATAGGGTAGATATAGGTAGATTATTTAACACAAGGGGCATACGCACTAAGGGACACAGGTGGAAAGTGAGTGATCAAATGAGCCATAGAGACATTAGAAAGAATATTTTTAGTGTCAGAGTGGTTGACAAATGGAATGCATTAGAAAAGGATGAGGTGGAGGCAGACTTCATACACAGTTTCAAGTGTAGATATGATAGAGCCCAGTAGGCTCAGGAACCTGTACACCAGTTGATTGACGGTTGAGAGGCGGGACCAAAGAGCCAGCGCTCAACCCCCGCAAAAACCACTAGGTGAGTACACACAGATGCACGGTCCATTATACAAAGTAGTAATGGAAGCGGCTTTTGAGAATTAGCTCTTCTGAGAACGAACGTGTTGGTTTCCTTACAGCCAGATGCTCAATTATGGGTATCTTCCTAAATGGAAAAGATTCAGCGTATTTCATATCTTCCAGAGTCGCGCTATAGATGTTTTCTGCTCTCTTAGTCATGCTGTAGGAAATATGAGAAACGTTGAATTAGTCTACAATATGTATAGAGTTTGATATAAACACATAGTAAAATGTAACAATCATCACCTTATATTTATATAATAACAAACCAGAAATAACAGTACAATACACTGATTGCCTGAACCACAGAATTTTCATATTCGTTTTAGCGGAGCCAGGTAGCGTGTATGTATGTATATATACATTAATACACATAGGGTTGTATTGTGGTGGTCCTTGAGGTACTGACCTTTCCCAGGATGTAATTGTATATCAGTTGCCTAACTCACGGGTACCTATTTATTGCTAGGTGAATAAAGTCATCAGGTGAATGCAACGTGCTATCCCGGGGATCGAACCCAGGATCTTCAATTAGGAGTCGAAAATGTAACCACTGTACTACCGAGACCCTTTCCCGTTTCATCAGTTCCTGTTGCTCTTAGAAAATCTTGCAGTTTAACGGCAAGCCGCATTTATAATATGGACTGCATATCCTTTCCCTCTGCTTCCGAATGTGTTGAAACGAAATGCGTAATTCAACGACACGCGTCAGGCCCAATAAAATTGTAAAATGAGGTTTGAAGAGTTAATTTTTCAACCTCCTTCCCAAATGGAGTCGCATTCCACGAACCCGGGTACGATTTCCGATCAAGGCAGAAACAAATGGGCACCATTTCTTTCGTCTGATGAGGCTTAGACGAAAGTAAATTGTGAAAGTGTCCACCTAGCAGTAAATATAGATATATGGATACCTGAGAGACGTTTATTCACTTGGATCACTGGACACTCGAACACCGGCTTCAAACGTAAGAGACTTTCGTGCTACCGACCAAACCATGAATGCTCACGATAAGGATCTCATAGGATCTACATCAGTTGGGGTGCCAGTTAACTACCCCTGACATCCTTATTGTGAGCATCCATGGTCTAATTCTATTTAGCTCATCATAATCCAGTAATATGTATTACCGATATTTGCAGTGACTCACCAGAAGGGAGAGTTGGGACAGCCGATGATGTAGAGCTGGTTACCGAAGAAGGAAGTTGTGTACATCATATCCAGGTTCTCGAGGAAGTAATGATCGTCTAGCCCCAGACACTGACGGAAATAGGAACATGTTAGAAGGTTTGTTGACAGACCACACACTAGAAAATGAATGGACGACGACGTTTCAGTCCGTACTGGACCATTCTCAAGTCGATTGTGATTCTCAAGTCATTCACAATCGACTTGAGAATGGTCCAGGACGGACCGAAACGTCGTCGTCCCTTCACCTTCTAGTGTGTGGTCTGGTCAACATATTTCAGACACGTTATTGTGACTCATCATCTGCATGTTAAAGGGTTTGACCAAGATACTCATAATGTCGCTCAAACAATAAGCATAAAACAAACATTCATTCAAACAATCATAAATGGAAACTAAAACTGATAATATAGTGTGTTAATAGGATAGGGGTGTAACCCTGTAAGGTGTTTGGTTTATTTGTACTTAAAATACATAGAGATACATGAGTCACAGGCAGGGATTTGAGAAGGCGCCAGTTTGGTCGACCTGAGATCTCACACCTCTAAGAGTTAATGACCACCAAGTGACCTGAGGTCAGATCATGCGAATTTCACCTTGCTTCTGCTAATCTTATAATTGGAGCCTGGTAGCCTTCAAACATGCCGACGTTTAAGGAGTGGCTTGGTAGAACGCCTGAGGCTATCTATTTGTGGGCGGAGTTAGTTACTAGGTTCCCCCATATATACTCGGAGAGCTATCGATTCGAGAGCATTAACAAGACAGAGAAGAACAGCAGCCAGCAGAGGAGAGGAGACGGCCTAGCAGGGAGGCTGTCGGCCGGCAGGGCGGGACAGTCTCTGTCAACTACAGACCCCCCCCCCCCCTCTATCCAGTTATAGGCAGACACTTGGTGAGTTGAACGTTAAGGTGACTTGGTCGTGTTCACATATGTTGTGTGATGATCTGGGGCAGACAGTTGTAGGGTTCTCAAATTCTTGGATGATGGCTCACTTTGAATATTTATCTTGAACATTGGAATTGCTAAATTATGATACTTCATGTGAAATATAATTATGAATTTATTATTTAAATTGGCTTTAACTGTGTCCCCTAGAGTTTTGAGTTGAGGTGAGAAAGCCTCTGTGGTTACTGGTTCATGATATTAATGAGTACATGTTTGGAGTTGATACATGGTAATAACATCTTTTGTGAATATTGTGATACAGACAAGTTCCATTCCTTGTCTCGTATGTAATGGTCTTGAATGGATGGTGGCAGCATTTCGTCTTCTACTATCTACTATTTCCTATTTCTACTTCTACTATCTACTTTTCTACTTCTACCTATCTACTTCTCTCCCTCCACCCCTCTCTAAACTCTCACTTTCAACTAATGACCCTCCTCGCTCCTCCCACCTCTCTACCTCTCTCACCCCAAACCCTCACTAATTACTTCACTAGTCTTCTCTTTCCTTTCGTGTCTCTTATACGTTTGTGGCAGTGAAATGTATTCTAGAGTTCTCTCTAGAGTTTCGGGTAACTGATCAAGTTACGGCGCCTTGTTGTCACAGCACCTAGGTAGTCGAATACCTAGGTTACAAGGTGTTGAACGAGAGAGGTTGCCGTAGGAACTCTGGGAGTGCTCTAGAATAGTTAGCTAACTGGGGACGGGATAACGGACTAGAGAGAGCTATTTCCCCCGGCCTCGTTAGTTAACTGGGCGGTGGAATAATGGACAAGATAGAGCTATTTCCCCCACCCCCGTTACAGGGGTTCTTACGATTGAGATAAGAATGGCAGAACAACTCACCCTGGCGACAACGTAGTAGGCCCAATAGACATGTTTCTCGAATGGCATGTTCACGAACACCACGTAGCTCTGGTTCATCTGAAGAACATTGAAATATACTTTGGAGATGTGACGGCCATCAGGCGGGTGCTTTATCATAGCCACGCATTTAAAGCAGTCCTAGTACATCAAACTATGAAGGTTTAGTTGCCACCAAGGAGAAAGCTATCAAATGAAAATAGAAAAATTAAAGCCAAGGCCACCAGGGCCAGCTTAAGTATTTCCCAAGGTTCTTAATAAATGTTGAGTTTAGATAGTTCTTGTCTCATATGAGAACAGAATAAAGGAACTGCAGAAGACCTTTTGGCTCATACGCAACAGATTATATATATAGATTATATTTGATTCATTAAAAATAATTGCTTATCATTATACTATTTGTTATTATTATTATATTAATTATTATATAATAATAATAATTTATTATTTATTATTAATGTATTATTATTATTAATTTATTATTTACTATTATAAAATAAACAAGTCCCCAATCTGAGCGCGTTTTCTTCCAACTGCAGAAAAAGAACACTGCTTTTTCCCACCCCCCCAAAAAAGCGGTGGGTTTTCTGAGGAAAGAAAACGTGTGTCTGAGAGCCGAGTCTAACCGCCCCAAGCTGCGTGCGCAACTTGTAAATTATATAACATGTGTGAGAAAGCTCACACATGTTAAATGAGAAAGCCCCGTGTCGTCGGGGTTGATCAGTCAGGGAGCTTAGATAATAAGCACCAGGACTGACCAATCCTTATAGACGATCATTGGTGCAGTGGTCACGGTACTGTGTACGTTTAGGGGTGATCCTAGACGGCATGGGTTCGAATCCTGGCCGGGTCAAAGAGTTCTTAGTGATCTATGGTTTGTGCGTTCATGCAGCTTTCTCATAAATATATATATATATATATATATATATATATATATATATATTATATATATATATATATATATATATATATATATATGTATTATTATATATATATATATATATGCCCACATGAATTATTTCCTTAGTTATATTAGTTTAGGTAAGGTTAAGATAAGTTAGGTTAGGTTAGGTAGGGTTGGTTAGGTTCGGTTATATATCTACGTTAGTTGTAACTCAAATGGAAAGAACTTGACTCATACATAATGAAATGGATAGTTTTATAATTTCATAAGAAAAATAATCGAAAATGTATATCAATTCAGGAAAACTTGGCTTATTAGGCAAATCGGGACTTGCATAGTAGGCCGAGAAGTGCATTCTGGCTACTAGGTACAACATATATATATATATATATATATATATATATATATATATATATATATATATATATATATAATATATATGTCGTACCTAGTAGCCAGAACGCACTTCTCAGCTACTATGCAAGGCCCGATTTGCCTAATAAGCCAAGTTTTCATGAATTAATTGTTTTTCGACTACCTAACCTACCTAACCTAACCTATCTTTTTCTACCACCTAACCTAACCAAACCTATTAAAATAGGTTAAGTTAGGTTAGGTAGGGTTGGTTAGGTTTGGTCATATATCTACGTTAATTTTAACTCCAATAAAAAAAAAATTGACCTCATACACAATGAAATGGGTAGCTTTATCATTTCATGAGAAAAAAATTAGTGAAAATATATTAATTCATGAAAACTTGGCTTATTAGGCAAATCGGGCCTTGCATAGTAGGCTGAGAAGTGCGTTCTGGCTACTAGGTACGACATATATATATATATATATATATATATATATATATATATATATATATATATATATATATATATATATATATATATATTTATATATATATATGTCGTACCTAGTAGCCAGAACGCACTTCTCGGCCTACTATGCAAGGCCCGATTTGCCTAATAAGCCAAATTTTCATGAATTAATTGTTTTTCGACTACCTAACCTACCTAACCTAACCTAACCTAACTTTTTCGGCTACCTAACCTAACCTAACCTATAGAGATAGGTTAGGTTAGGTTAGGTAGGGTCGGTTAGGTTCGGTCATATATCTACGTTAATTTTAACTCCAATAAAAAAAAGTTGACCTCATACATAATGAAATGGGTAGCTTTATCATTTCATTAGAAAAAAAATTGAGAAAATATATTAATTCAGGAAAACTTGGCTTATTATGCAAATCGGGCCTTGCATAGTAGGCCGAGAAGTGCGTTCTGGCTACTAGGTACGACATATATATATATATATATATATATATATATATATATATATATATATAACGTGTACGTGTGTGTGTGAGTGTGTGAAAAAAGAACACACACAAAGAGTGTGTGTTCTACTGCAACAAGCAAGCCATAGAACACTAAGAACTCTAATACGATCACTGGTGCCGTTGTCACGGTAGTGTGTACGTTTAGGGGTGATCCTGGACGGCATGGGTTCGAATCCTGGCTGGAGTGAGTAGAGGTATCCGCCCGGTTTAAACAATGATTATTTACTCATGTTTACCAAATGTATTTAGTTAAATTGTTAAATATTTATTATATTATTTATTTTAGAGCATTACCATACTGGGTTTATGGCAATTTAGATTTATTTAAGTATTCTGTTAAGAACCATTACTGACGCCTTTCTTTTGTCTTGTGTAGCGTCATGTGATGGTAAATTTGCTGACCAAACAGACAATCTGTTCTGGTTGGGTTTGGCTGGTCTAAAAATAGCTTGACATGGACCATGTGTTCTTTTTTTTTATAACATCCATAGACCATGTCAAACTATTATGTGCAAGAATCAATTTTAGCTTAAGTGGATAATTTCCACAAATAGGTTCCATGAGTTAGGCAGTTGTTGTGAGTCTGAATTTGGCCATTTGCCTGTATGGCTGAAAATGGACGAAATTTGAAAATGATTTTTTTTTAAATAAAGTTGGATTTTTTTTTCCAAACTAGCAAGTTAAGGGTCCTCTGGTAGGTTAGGAAGGCAGGAAATTCTCCAAAAGGTTTCAAAACGTCTTGAAAACCGTTAATTGAAAGTTTCCTCTCTTAACCTAACCGAGTAAGCCGGAGGACGCAAAACAGAAAACGGGACAGTACGTCACTTTGGTGAGCCAATTTCATTTCAAATTACATCCATTTTTGGCCATAGCGCGCATACGAGCGAAAAGCGACGTTATTTTAAGGTGACGGGTTGAACCCAGGGGGACCACGACTAGCCTAAGTGCAGGCTTCATGTCCCCCTACAATGAGAAAAGTAATCAAATGAATAAAGTGGTATAACAAAGGGATATAAATAAAATTATAAATGTGGCAACACAAAACAGAAATTGAAACAGTGGATATTAATTGTATCAGTTTAGATTCAGGAAAGACCTTGGTAAATGTAGTTTAGAAATAGGATTGTTGATATGAGGAGCAAATTACCTTGTAATATAATCGCCGTTGGATAGCGGGATTGTTTCGAGAGTAGATTAGACATAAGAATGAGTTTGCGTGGATGTAAATAGGAGTGGATATAAATAAACCTAAGGGCCAATAGGCCTTCTGCACTTACCTTTATTCTAATGTTCTTTTGTTAACCATGCATTGGCACAGTACTTGGCACTCACCTGGTGCCGGGGTATGGGCAGCTGACAATGGCACAGTACTTGGCACTCACCTGGTGCCGGGGTATGGGCAGCTGACATTGGCACTCACCTGGTGCCTGGGTATGGGCAGCTGACATTGGCACTCACCTGGTGCCGGGGTATGGGCAGCTGACATTGGCACTCACCTGGTGCCGGGATATGGGCAGCTGACATTGACACTAGTAGTGAAGTTGAGGACTAGAGCGACGCGCGCCATCTGGGCGGGTGGGACCCCCGCGACTAGAGCGACGCGCGCCATCTGGCCCGGTGGGACCCCCGCGACTAGAGGGGCCAGGTGGAGCACAATGGGTTTTGGGGGATTTTCCCGGAAGTTGTGGCGTGTCGGACGCGTGTGAGCGTCCAGTGTTTGGGTATGCGGTCATGTTGTTGGGGGGTAGGAGAGTATGTGGGCTATGTGGTAGAGTAAGAAATACGAGGATACGAGTGGAATATGTGGAAAGAGTAGTTAAATATGTATGTGTGTTTGCTGTAGACTTAATCCTGTGTGTAGATAATAGTTTTGATTAAAGATGAAAGTAAGTAAAGCTATGTAGAGGCTGAGTGTAGGTGTGAGGGGTCCCAACATAGGCGGATATGTTGTTTGGGGTGGGGAGGGGTGTTGGAAGGGTGAGGGGAGCTTCCCCTCGGCGTGAGAGTGCTTAGGGTCATTTGTGGATTTTGACATCCATTATTTTCTTGAAGCTATGCACACAGCCGGAAGTGAGAGGCGGAGGGTAGGAGAGTCCAGGAGGAGATGAGAGCTGCAGCAGGAGGGATGTGGTCAATTACCTTAATCGTTTTTCAATGTCTTCAGAGTGGTCTGGAGATGTTCACCCCAACAGGCCTCTCCCAACACTGTGGATTCGTTAAGGAGCGACGTTCTTACTACTGCCGCCAGCAGGTCCACACCTGTCATCGTCAATCACTCCCACCCCTCATCCCCTCCTCTCCCCATACCATCAGGGCCCCCCTCTCCCTCCCCTCCATTACCTTCTAGAGTGGGGCACCCCTCCCCCCCCCTTACCTTCTAGAGTGGTACGGACCAGGACCACATACCGTCACATCGACCTGAGAAGTGTCACCACATGGCACATCACTTAGTAAACTCAGTCAAAGTCAGTAGGTTAGCGTTTACTAAAAGAGGGAAACATTTTTGGCGGGGAGCGAGCCTGAGGTGTACCATCTCTCTCTCTCCCTCTCTCTCTTTCCTGACGCTCTCACTGGGACATAGCAAAGGCGTGCCATGAGCGCAACATACAAATTCCATCAAGAACTACCTACATGTTGCTAAACAGTCCAATCTCACACAAGGCAGTCATATAGGCAGTAAAGGCTTGCAGAGACGCATAAAGGAGTCCAGGACTGAACCCCACAATTCATTTTTAGCTTAGCAAGTTACAATCATGACGAGCTAGTTACAAAATTCAATATAAGTCAACACATCGTCACGGGAGACGCGAT